TTAGCAAACCTGTTAGAAAAGACACAGAAAGTCATGTTTTGTCAAGCACATCCCATACATACTAGCTCAGTAACCCTCATTCCTCAGAGGATTCTGCGTTTGCAGACACTTTTGACATTAGCCATGCTTCCAAGCCTTGACATACCAAATGAGTGTACTTCTGCACTGGATTGAGGAGACATCACTTCATCCTCTCTGCTGTCACCCACAGGGCTGCTTTAATTTGCTGCAGGTTACTCCTAGCAGCATCACAGATGTTTACATACTCTTTATTAAATCCTTATTAAGGAGAATGCAGAAGCACAAAGGCATGTAAAAAGTCTCAACAGGCATAGCTTTAAAACAAACAAACCAGCCTTTGCTTATTTTGCAATAAAACATTTTTAAAAGAATTCAATCTGAAATAATATTGAGAAAAAGTATAATAATAATAAACTTGAATAGATGTAGACTTGTGCACTATAGATCTGCCTACATTCTGTAGTACTGCAAAGATCTAACAAGCCTTTTTTTTTTTTCAAAACTTAAACTTGCTTACAAAGTTCATTAAAATAAGCCATATGCCCCCCCAGATCTGGAAGCATTTCTGAGCTCCCATGCAATAATTAAGCCTTTCACCTTCATTTGCATTGTTCTGAAGCGGAAAATTAAGTTGGGAGAAGGAAGATGCTGATGGAGAAGAGCATGAAAAAGACAGAAGTATTAACTCTTGGAGAAAAACAGAAGCATCTACAGCAGAATAACATCAATACTTTTAAGACTGCACAATCCAGACCGCAATGTGAATGTAAAAATGAGCACTTTTCAAATTCAAGCTGGAAAAGGTTCCCAGCCTTCTCTTAAACATAAAGCAGGAGATGCGAAGTATGACATTATATGAGAGTCAGGTACTGTAATTAATAGCAGCAGCCTTCCTCTTGGGTTTTTAATAAATATTTCTGTAAAATATCATAAAAACTGCTGTGTGATTATTGACAGGTTTTTTTCAACAAATGTAATGTTTAATCTAGTTTGTAGTCTATGTTGACTTTCAACCAGTTCAGACTGTTGACCAATGCCTGAATTTAAAGATGGCATGCATTAAATACGGGCAAACTTCATTCTTTCCTGCCTTTACATAACTGGAACCACAGGTAAAAACTAACCCTGGAAACCAGGTTGGTAAGAAAGTATGATCAAGAAACGCCACCTGCTGTCTCCTGGACTACTATTCCAAAAAGCTGCTGGACATGGCACAAAACTCGTGTTTTCAATGAGGAAGAACATTTGAACACAATAAAGAAATATAAGTCCTTCTTTACATAACGGTAACCAAAAGAGCCCTCTGATCCTCATTGCAGCTACTTACCATATAAAGTTTTAAGCAATATTTCATAAAGAAGTCTCTTGCACTGAAAGTTAGAAAAAACAGAGAGATACAGAATGGTTGAAAAGTATATCTTATTATGTTCCAGATTGCTAACCCAAAACTTATATTAATTAAATTCCAGTGTGGGCTTTTCTTTAATTCCAAGGTTCAACTTGATGAATACTCCGTATATGCAAAGCATAATTATTCTGCTGGCTACAATATTATACTATTGTTAACCTATTATTACTATTTGCCTATTCTCTGAGGCTTACTCCAAGAAATGTTCAGTGGTAATTGAGTCCTTGACATTCCAAAACCCCTGATCTCCACCATCTTTAAAGTGTTTGCCTATCATTAGACAAGTTTGGTTTCCTGAGCTTTAGCACTATAAACTGGAAAAAGAAGCCTACTACACCTTAACACACCAAATTAAGCACACAGTTGAAGACTCCTGCACAAAAGCCAGAGTGCTCAACACCCTGACACACAAAAGCTAAATTTATGACACAGATAGATACAAATCCAGGCATTCTGGTTCAACAAGACACTGGGCAGTTTGCATGGAACAAGATTTTGTTTAAATCAGCTACATAAATACTGGATGTTGTTGTCTTCTCTAGCTTTTTACCTAAGGGAGGATATTATCAATGTACTTATTATCAAAGTGCTTCTGGATCAACCTTCAATATTCTAATGCTTACCTCTGTCTTAATTTTGTCGGTGTTCCTTTGAACTTACCCTTTAGTCCTGTGTGGCTGCCCACCCTCTTTTTCCTCTGAAGTATTGCTGGTTATCTCAGTATCAAGGTTTTCCACGCTGCTCAAAGCAGAGGCCTGTAACCTGACTGACAGCGAGGAACACCAGCCTCACTGCCTCACTTCAGACATCTGCACTCTCTGCTGGTCCTCTTCAGCTGTGGAAGGGGCACAGCGCAGGAACCCAATGTAGGGCTTTTTCAATGGTATGTTTTGCTACCAATGTTCCTTATATGCACATTGCTCGAGTGGTACTGTCTGACACAGGCCTGTGATGGAACTAGCCTCCTCTTTGGAGGATGAAGTTCCTTTAAAATAAATCATCATCTTTATAGCCTGCTTAAATAAATCAGTCTGAGAAAGCAAGCAGTCAAGAGAACACTGAATAGAAAATGTCAGCTGTAATGACAGTGAATTCTAACAGAAACTGTCATTATTTCAGTTGCAGGTGGGATACAGCCTCAGAAAGGATCGTAACCATTCAGAAAAAGATAAACACAAATACGCACTTCTCAGTCCTAGGACAAACCAGCCTTCTGCAATTAATCCTGCAATTAAAACATGCTTTAAAGTGCCAATTAAGGAAATTAAATGGTATTGACCTTATGCATTTGAAATGTAACAAGTTAAATAGTTAAAACTATCTTCTGTTGTATATGAAAATGTAGTTTCACACAGAATCACAGAATCACAGAATTGTAGGGTTTGGAAGGGACCTCCAGAGATCATCGAGTCCAACCCCCTGCCAAAGCAGGTTCCCTACAGCAGGTCGCACAGGTAGGCATCCAGGCAGGTCTTGAACATCTCCAGAGAAGGAGACTCCACCACCTCCCTGGGCAGCCTGTTCCAGTGCTCCGTCACCTCACTGTAAAGAAGAATGTTTCATGTAAAATAGTTTTATCTAATGGCAGCCACAACCTGAATAAATTCAAAAGCAGTGCTCTCGTTTCATTTATCTGAAATTAATCTCTGCCACACTGCAATTAGCCTTTACATGTCCTGTATCAAACTTATTTACGAAGAAAAGATGGGGAGCTACTTCTTCATTTTATCGTATTGGAAGTCTTGAAAGAAATTCCAGCTGAAACCAATTAGAACTGTAAAAAATCTGTAAACTCCTAGATTATGAGTGAAACTACATGTCATATAACATTATAATGAATATTCCAAAATTTAGTAATTCCAAAAATCAGCTGTATTCTTAGACTAATGTAAGTAGTATTTTTACCTGCACAATCACTGATAAAAGCATGCACACTTACAACAAAAATCTGACAAAAACTTCAAATTATTCTTCACTTCCACATGCAATTCTAACCACCATATAGCACTACCTAATGCATTTTAATATAAACAAGACACATCAATAATGAAAAGAAGTTCCTCTCAGCACCTCAGGAAGAAACTTGTGTTGGTCCCCCTTGTTCTTCTGTTCATCATGGATGTGTTCTTCCTTTTTCATAGCAATTCATTGGCTTCAACAAAGCCAGTTGCTGTGCTACAGCACAGATGAGATGCCCCTACCTGGAGAGTACCAAGCAGAGTTCCACTCCTCCTTAGGTTCACATATCTGCCATGTTCTGTATCAACAGATCAATTGCCCTGTATACAGATATTCTAAATGCACTCGGGCACCAGATAGGCTACTGCTGTTTTCAATTTCTTCTATTCTGGAAGGTGGATGAGATTTTTGGGTACAGCTTTTTACAAGTTTCTAGACCTAGGTACATATGACTTAGTTGTTAATGCTGGGTGAACATGAATCTTCATTGTACTGCTTTTTTGATCACTTGCTCTGAGTGACTTATGCAGATGAGAAATAATTCTAATCTAAAAAGTGATTATACTTGCTCTAAGCAACTTGTAAGAACTTAATTGCAAATGTGTATCAAGATACGATTATCTTGATAAACCTAATATCTTGATAAATTAAAGGAAATGGTACGTATGGCCACTTGCTCTGAAAACTTCTGTTGAAGAATCCCCTTCAAGTGACAAAACTGCATATAGTTACCATGCTACCTCTCATGAAACCATTTAATAAGCAAACTAAGAAACAAAATCAAATATTCTGACATATTGCTTCTGGGGAGAAAAAAAAAAAAAGATATTAAGGTACACCAAAGATGCTTGCTTTCTTCTATGATTTTTGACAGAATTTGAAAAAAAAACACTTAATGTACTTTGATATTCCCTCATCTAAGCTTTGGCTGTGGGGAAAGTAGCAAAACATCCACAGCTTCTTTGGGCAGCTTGTGCCAGTGCCTCACCATCCCCTGAGTAAAAAAAACTTTCCCCGACATATAATTTAAATCTCTCAACTTTTGATTTAAAATCATTCCCCCTTGTATTACTATCCATATGAAGTTTCCCTCCTGTCTGCAAGTTCTATTTAAGTATCAGAAGACTGCTATCAGGACTCTCCTAAGCCTTTTCTTCCCCAGGCTGAACAAACCCATCTCCCTCAGCATCTCTTTCTAGGCTTCAGCCCTGAAAGCATCTCTGCAGCCCTCATGTGGACCCATTCCAAAAGCTCCACATCCTTCTTTCCAGACATGGACTCAGTACTTCATATCATCAGCAAACTTGCTAAGGGTGCACTCAGTCCCACTACCCAGATCATCAATAAAGATGTTGAGAAGAGCACTAGTTCCAAGATACACAGCCCTCTTCACTGGCCTCTATCTGGACACAGAGCTGTTGAGCACAACCCTCTGGCTGTGACCCTGATTTAGGTTTTTGAGGAAAAACTTCAAATTACTGATCACTCATTTTCTGAATAAAACCCAGCAAAAGAGTATATTTTAAGATCAAAATTCAAATAAAAAAATCTATATGATCTAAATTTGTAATTTAGTTTCAGACAAGAAGCTTAAACAATTTTCCACAGTGCAGAAGGGAAGAAGACATTTTATTCAAACATGCTTCTAGGTGACATTAGTTCAGTTTAGCAATAAATATTGAGCTATTCCAACAGTAGATTTGATCGAAGCAGTTTAGCAGCCTGATAACTCAATTGTTTTTTATTTAAAAGTTTTGTTGGAATCTTCTTTGAACTAGGAATCTGGAAAAGCATGTCTTCCAGCGTGCATGTGGTTATCCGTCCTGAAGCTTGTAGTTTGGTATAAATATCTCTTAATTTGGCAGAAAAGTCAGGGTTTTTTTCCATCTCTTCCCTGGCTGTGGCCAGCTGGGGAGGGAAAATAACACACTGTCACAATTCAGCCAGCAAAGATCTCAATCAAAAACCGTACTGAAGACAAAGGAAAAAACCCATAACCCAGCTTAACATACATAGCTAGTGGAGTGGCTTCTAAGAAAAGGAATTTAAGCAGTACACATACATGAGCAGGCAATACTGGAAATGCACTAGATACCTATGAGGGAAAGTTTATTACATTAAAAACTTTCTCAAAGCAGTACAGTCTTATTTGCAGACCTAGAGTGGACTAACACAATTGTTTTCTATTTAAACCCAGGCAACACAAGTGCTTCCCGAAATCTATTTTCCAAATAAGCACAATTATTATTATTCCATATGAAGCTAAAAGTAGAGTTCAAACCAGTAAGTCATACAAAAGAACAATGGAAATTTCAGTAAACTATGCTATACATGGAGTATAAGCTAAAGAATGAATGGATCTGTTAAAAAAATTTAGTGAACTACTTTAAAATGAATGGGCTAGGACAAATACTTGGTCTTCCTAGGTACTGTTACAAGTTTACAGAAATAAAACACTGAGATATGTAGTTTTTTTTCCACAAATATCCATTAACTATGCTTTGAAAGCCATACCTCCTCTTTACCTACTGCTTATGTATCAATTATTCTGCTATGAAGCAGCACTAAAAAGGTAATTATTTAATTACTAGCACAACCTTAAAATACATTGTTCCATGCATGTTCAAAATGAGCACACTAATAAATTTCAGGAAAAGAAGCAGCAGTGCTTTCAAGCTGAAAGGGTTTCACTCATACACACATTTCCTTCTCAGTGACCAGTACTGTAATGGAATCTATCATTTCCTAAATCACACTTCTCTGTATAGCATCACAGATGTTTGCAATTCTACTGAAAAATACAAGTGTGATCAGGACTTTAGTCTCATTTTTACATCAAACGATGCCAGCATATAAAGCAAGGGAATAAATTATTTAAGGCCACTAGGGAACTCTTCATCTTCTCAGTTGAAATTCGAGCTTCTAAAAGCTAGATTCTCAATAAAAAGGGAAGTAGACAGCTAAGCACTTTGCCCAACAGCACAATAAACCAGTCAGCTGCTTTGGCATCTGAATGTATCAGAAACAAAACAGTTTTAGTAAGATGTACTCAGAAACCTGAAGCTCTGTAACTCAACTTCGTAGCTTAGCTAAGCACCCAAGACTTCCTCTCAGACTTGCCTTACCACCCCCAAGCCTGCATCCCCAACACACATCTGTGATGACATACTTGCCTGATTCAGTTCATTACTGTTATACTTACCACTTGCTCAGAAAATTCGATTTTTTTCACAAAAGGAGTATCTACGTCCATTGCTGCCTCTAAAGTCTTTATTACCTCTTCTAGCAAACCAGATCTGAGCTGGACAAGAACCTTAAAAATAAAATTAAATATATCCACAAAGTAATCATTAGAAAGAAAGCCTTAGAAGAAAATATTTGAGGAAAACATAATGAATGAAAGAATGACCAAAATACTTTTCTAGATGCTGGGCTGATAAAATCTGTTAATTGTGAAGGCAGACAGAACGGTCAATTTCCACATAACGTTTTGTTTTGTTTTGTTTTGCAACTGAAACTTGGAAAGGAATAGAGAACCTGGAGCCTTCAGCTGCTTTGCACATAAGAGTTGTTTGCCTATTAGAGCATATTTATACTGTAAAACTCTAATACAAAGCAAGCATACTTACTTTAAGATTACTGTATAGTTTATTCTCTGTTTTCCTTATCTGAGAACAATAAAATTGGGCTTGTGCTATATCATCCTGAAAAAGAATTAAAAATAATTTAAAAAAATACAGTTAAATATGTGACACATTCCCACAGTAAAAGCCTAAGTAGAACAAGAAGCTCTTAGAACTTCTCACTGAAAACAAAAGCATCTACAACACTTTCACCAGGTCCCACAGCCCCATGTAGCATCCAGCCTGTGAAAGAAATACTCCACACTGGAATTTGCATGTTAGCTAGCTCTCCAGCATAGCAAACAGTATTTTCAAATTTTAGTTCTTACATCAGCAGACAAATGAATTCATGTAACCAACACCAAGCACAAGTGCACTTTAAAAATAGAAGAATTACATCCAAGCTTGGACTTCGGCACATGTCAAAGTACTTAAATGAAGTGCAGGACATGATTAGTGGATATCTTATTCTGCCCAGCATTTTTAACTTCTAGGATATGCACACTTAAAGTACCACATCTGTAACACCAACTCATTTGTATGGACATTTAAACATTACGCTGACATTTACAAGGGATCAACAGACGTCTTATTCAAAGCAAGATTAAAGATGCCAATGAGCATGCAGTTTTAGGAATAGTTAAGTGTAATCTGGATCATTAATCTGTTTACAAAACAGTAATTTTAGCTAAGTTTTATATAAAACAAAGTACCAAGAATATTTCATGTTGTTTCAGAGACAGAGATTTTGGTTTTTAACCCCAATGTTAATGAGAAGACCAAATCATACCACCATGCAAATGAACAGTTAAATTTCAGTGACATTATTTTTCAGCTGTGATGTTCATACAGAGATTCTGCAAAAAGATCAAAGAATGAATGCATAACAAAGCTTTAACCTCTTATTTCATTCATCCAAAACATCTACCAGTATCAAATCTCTAGTTCTTTTAGACACTCACAGTCTGATATCTCTTTAGATATGCAAGAGAGAATGTTTCCTCAAAACATTTCCTCAATAATTTCAGAAGAAACAGTATACATAAGGATTTCCTAACTCTTATTCTCCTATCCAGTTTTTCACTCTGATCTGCTTCAAATCAATGCTCAGGCACTTGAAATATATGGAAAATCTCACCTTGAAGTCACTTGCTACTAACGACAGGCCATCCCCAAAACAAAAGGGCAATAGATATCACAGTCCTTGAATTTGCCTCTACAGATAAACATTCTGAAGAGCTTACTGCACAAGTGTTTAAAATTATTTTTATCCTACTTGAAGGAAATCATTACTAAGCATCAACATCTGAAGGACTGGGCCATGGGAATATCAAAAACCACTAGCCCAACTTTCTTCTACTTTGTAAGAAAATTCTGCGTCTAATTGTCAGTGGAAAAATGCATCTGTGTATTAGACTCAAGACAAAGGCTTCAGAATTTTGACATTCAGTTTATGCGAGAGTTACCTATAACCCTTTCTTCAGGGCCATAAAAGTTATAGTACTTAAAATAATTGCCTAGATCAGTTATGCTTCCTCTTTTTTAGCTTTCTTCAGCTGACCGTCATAAAACAAAATAACCTTTTGAGGTATAAATCAAAAGAAGGCACTATACCTGCTTCAGAGCAGATGCCGCAGCAAAGTAGAATGCTCGCAGTGGTAATGTGTCACCTTTTAGCTGTGCTTCTTCAAGCAGTTTTGCAGAGATTTTGCAAGACTCCAGGCTGCCCTATGTAGAAATTTCATACATAAGTTGCCCTTGTCAATCATGTGATCTGAAATTACTGTACTGCAACTGCAGTGACATTCAGAAGGCATTCAGAAGTAAATGCATTGTAAGGCCAGCAAGGCAATCTATGTCTGAACCAAGGAGATTCTGTATTTCCTAAGATACACAACACCAAAAGATGATACTTAGTGCTACAGTGCTCAGAAGAGGGTAAAAATAACCACCATTTCATTCCTTTGTTGTCCAACAAAGGAAAAAAAGACAACACTGGCACTCAGCTAAAAGCAATTTCAATTTTCCTACCATTCCCAAATCAGGAAAAAGGCTGACTCTTTCTAATTCTAATTCTAAGCCATTCTAAAAGGGTAGTTAATGAAGATCAGTTTTCCCAAACATTAAATTAATCAGCACCATTGTATTACAGAAATCTGCACACAAATAAATTTGAATATTCAGCAGTTTTGAGCCTCTCTTTTCAAGATTACATTTGGCAAGATGTTTCCAAAGTAAACACTCTAATGTAATGTAATCTCAGAAGAGCGGTGGCCAGCAGGGACATGGAGGTGACTGTCCCTCTCTACTTTGCCCTCATGATGCCTCATCTAGTGTACTGTGTCCACATCTGGAGCCCCCAGTACAAGAAAGACAGAGGGCTGTTGAAGAGGGTCCAGAGAAGAGCCACAAAGATGATCAGTGGGCTGGAGCAGCTGCCCAATGAAGGCTGAGGGAGCCGGGCTTGTTCAGCCTGGAGAAGAGAAGACCTCATTGCAGCATTTAAGTACCTAAAGGGAGCCTACGAACAGGAGAGGAATCAACTCTTTGAAAGGGGATAACAGCAGGACAAGGGGAAATGGTTTTAAGTTGCGGGAGGGAAGATTTAGGTTGGGGAGGGAAGTTCTTTATTATGAGGGTGGTGAGGTGCTGGAACAGGCTGCCAAGAGAGGTTGTGGATGCCTCGTCCCTGGAGGTGTTCAAGGCCAGATTGGATGGGGCCCTGGGCAGCCTGGTCTGGTATTAAATGGGGAGGTTGGTGGCCCTGCATGTGGCAGGGTGTTGGAGCCTCATGATCCTTGAGGTCCCTTCCAACCTGAGCCATTCTGTGATAATAGTTTACATATTTGCCTTTTCCAAGGTGGAAAGCTTGCATTATTCATGAGAAACAATAAATTGCATCAGTGCTTCATCTCCACATTCAGTTAGCAATTAAGTACTCCAAAGGTCAAGAATTACCAGCACAGTTTACTTTACGGGCATACATAACTTGCATCTTATTTGTAGTGAATGATATATGGTAATAACATTAACGGCACTATTTTCAAAAGAAGTCTAGAGTAAATGGTAATGTGTTCATCTGTGCATCATTTCAAAAACCACCAGCTACCAAAAATAATGTTCTTCACAATGGAAATGGTAAAGGGAGCTAATTGGACCCGGAACAATTAAAAACCTTATCTCTATTCCTACTGTTCAAAGTGCCATTCATGTAAAACAGCAGCTGTGATGTAAGACTGGGTCATCTTTTGGGTTTTACGGGATACTTCTCAATTTCACTGCTCAATGTTTTGCACAGCTTGTGAAAACACCTTTTGAATGACATAATAAATGTCATGTTCTTTAAAAATTTTGAAACATTCTGACCACAAAAAAAGATAACTATTGCACATACACATTTCATTATTATCAAAAGGCTTATAGCACTTTCCTGCACTAAAAGAAGAACCTCTTTTTTAGTTCGGGTAATAGCAGACCCTACAAATATTTAAAACTTCCCAATGGCTGTCCTCAGAAATACTTCTGTACACTAACTTCTTAGTTTATCCACTAGCAGTAATCAGAGCTTTAAGCCTTGTACATTCTCCACTAGTGGTCTCTGGCACAGTTCCTTAAAAGAAATCAAGAATTAACCAGGTAAATATCCAGAACTGTTGTTAACAGTACTAGTGCCATTGTTTCCAGTATTCAAATTATATATCTCAAAGACATTTCCCCTCAAGATTTTTCCTCAATTTTCTCATGTTGGCAAAGCAAAAGCACTTTGGAGCTTCATGGTGTCTCCTCCTTACTTGGAGTCTTAGCATTCAGCACTAACAGTTGAAACAAGATCAAGCTGTTGAAGGAGCTCTGCCTAATCATCTTCAGCACATAAGGAGTTATTTTATTGTGTCTGTTAAAACAATTGAATGTCAGTTTATGATCATTTCCCCACTATTTTATGAATTTGTTAAAGAAATTTAGGTTGTATTGATGGGCTGACAGGCTGGATCAGTGAGCTGAAGCTAACTGCATGATGTTTAAAAAAAAACAAGTGCTAGGTCCTGCACTTAAGTCACCATAACCCCAGGCAGCGCTACAGATCTGGGGCAGAACAGCTTGGCAGAACTGCAGAACTGCATGGCAGAAAAAGATCTGAGGGTGCTAGTTGATAGCCAGCTGAACATGATTCAGTAGTGTGCTCAGGTGGCCAAGAAGGTCAGTGGCATCCTAGCTTGTATCAGAAATGGCAAAGCCAACAGGACTAGGGAAATGATTGCCCCATGGCACTAGTAAGGGCCCATCTTGAGTGCTGTGTCTGATTTTGGGTTCCTCATTAAAAGAAAGACATTAAAGCATGTCCAAAGCAGAGCAACAAAGTTAGTGAAGGGTCTGGAGCACAGGTCCTGTAACAAGGACTGGGACCGTTCAGTCCAGGGAAAAGAAGGCTCAAGGGAGCCCTTATCACTCTGTGCAACTTGACAGCGAGGTGAGGGTTGGTCTCTTCTCCCATCCATCTAGTGATAGGACAGGAACTAATGGTCCCAACCTACACATCTGGGGAGGATCAGGTTGGATATGAAGAAAAGTTTCTCCTATGAAAGAGCAGTCCACAATTGGAACAGGCTCCCCAGAGGATTGATGAGGGCAGTGTTCTTCGAGGTGCTCAAGAAATGTGTAGATGTGGCACTGATGGAAATGGTTTAATGTGCTGATGGTTGGACTACATGATCTTAGAGGTCTTTTTCAGCCTAAACCATTCTATGATTCTAAATAACAATGTGCCAGATTCATTGCTGAAAACAGACGCAGAGACAGTAGTAGAAAGCAAAAGTCTCAGGAAGCTCTTCCTCTTCTATATGCTAGGGATCCGAGCCCTAGTGCAACAGGCCATGGAAAGTAACATGTTAAAATTTTGGAGATTATGTAAAACTACCATAGACTGAGTAGACCTCAGAGAAACACAATTGGATTCAGTGAAAGTCATTACTTTCCATAGAGTGGAAGGGACAGAGTGCAGACCACAAAGTAAGTTACAGTCACAGATACTGACTAGGTAGATACTAGAAGCAAACACAAGCTTATAAACTAGTGTTGCAGCACAGTGTCATCGTATTTCTACATTCAGTATTTCCTAAAAACAGCACACTCTGAATAGAACTGGTAGCACTCCTAAATGAACTGCTGCCACGAATCGCTAGCTGGTTTTAAGTGCAAACTGTTTCCACAATTCTTTTTGAGATCTACCTACTGCCCTAGTCTACAAACATAAAAGCCATATAGTTATCTCTGTTTCCCTGACCTAAAAGCAGCTGCAATTCATCAGGACTAAGACTTGCAGAAACACCTCAGAAAGTACTTGAGAGTCACCATGTTTGGCTGACTGCTTTTTATCACACGTGCTCAGATTCATTGTAGGTTAACTGAGAAATATGGGAAATTTAGCCTTGTAGAATCATTTTGCTTCAGCCAGTATCTCTTTCAAAAAGCATGGTTAAATTGAAAAAGTTTTCTACTGTGTTTGGAAAGGGCCTGTAAATACTTCAAATTGCAGAATTGATTCAAATCTGGAGAGATATATAAAGAAAAATGTTTGGCGGACTCTCTTAACTACAGATGGGAAGCTACTCTAAGAACTGTTACAGAACCTATGTAGCCTAATTCCTTATTGTGCTCACAATTTTTCTAAGAGTACATTTAAGGTTTAGGGGAAGCCTATCTCTTGCTGAAGCATTCATTTATCTTTCTTTTCTTGACTCAGCTGGCATGTTACAGCAGATTACCTTTGAGAACTTTAATCCCTGTCAAATTTGGGTGCAATTGTAAAAATGGTCCAAGATTTACTTGGAAGAGAAATGGGAGAGAGTTATCTGTCAAACAGTATATATCATATATATCCTATTTCCCAAAGAAACCAGACTATAAATCTAATATTGTCAAGTGCCAATCAAAGGCTGTATCAGATTTATTTCTTAATGTTAACATCCTTTAAATTCTTTTAGAGATATGCTTTGTGATATTAGCTGGTATCGGAAGACATACATGTACAAAAGATCATGAACAATGAAGCGATTTATGACTTAATTGTGTCTAAAATACTTGCATTAGATATGAAATCATGACTGGGAACATATGAAAATGTCAAAATTCCTAAAAGGAAGACACAGAAAAGGCATTTCAAGTACTTCATCATGTTAATTGAAAATATTTACCAATTTGTAGCATACTGCAAATGCCAGTAAATAGGTTTCTTTGTTGAAAGGTATTCCTTGTGTTTTCATTTCTGCTAGGACTTCCAAGGCACCTGCCAAAAAACACAGTTGTGTTACTCAATTCAGAAATTTAATGCTATATGTTTAATGACTTGAAATAATCTCAGCACTGTGTGCGCTCAGGAACTTTACTTCAAAATCAGAGTGCAATCTGACATCTGTTAACTTTTTACAAATTAATACAATTTAAGAACTTTAACAGAGGATCAATTGGATGAGACACTGCTTCAGAGAAAGGAAGCTTTCAGTCTACACTAGCACAGTACACAGTCTACACAGCACCTGACTTTACTGTTCTATTATCTTCACACAATCCTAAAGCAAACATCAGGATAATTTACAAAGCCACTCTTTTTTTCCTCCTAGCAGTCCAGAACAAAGACAAATCACACAACAAAAGCTTCAACTACTTCCAACCTAATGCTCCTCACTAAAAACGTAACCTGTAACCTTCGTTACACTGCAACACTGCATTCTGGTTCAGATCTAGTTTCTTTAAGGATGATCCAGACTAAGCCTTCAGGACAACTATTGAGCTGATTTGCCAAGCAGTGAAAGACTAAGTGCTGCACATCCAACAAATTCCAAAGAGAGTGATTTGGTTGGAAAACTTATTCCATACTCTTTTCAGTCAAATCAGTTGATTCCCTGTCATATCATCAGAAAAGACCAAACTGTGATTTTATGCACTTGCCTGAGCTTAAGCCTTACGAGAAGTGGCTGAAGGAGCTGGGATTATTTCCTCTAAGAAAAAGAGGCTCAGGAGAGACCTCATTATAACTACCTGAAGGAAGATTGAGGTAAGGTGGAGGGTCAGCCTCTTCTCCTGTGTAACTAGTAATAGGAATAGAGCGAACAGCATCAAGTTGCACCAGGGGAGATTCAAGTTGAACATTAAGAAAGACTCCTTCTCTGAAGGCATGAACACTGGACAGCACAGGCACTGGGATGGTCTGCCCAGGGCAGTGCTGGAATCATCATCCCTGATTGTGTTTAAGAAACACTTAGATGTTGGACTGAGGGACATGGTTTAGCGGAAAATACTGGTCACTGGATGATCTTGGGGGTCTCTTCCAGCCTTGGTGATTCTATGAGCACAGAACTGCTAGAAAAATGTGTTGGAGAACTTACTGTTCCGAAAACTGTATAAAACAAACACAGAATAGGGAGACACACATGCATACACACACACAAAAACAAAACTACAGGAAATTAGAATCCAGAGAGGAGTTAAGCTTTTAGAGAGCTTTAAAGAAGAATGTTCCAATCATAATTCCACATGACTGCAAAATGATAAGAATGCCATTCCAAGTATGAAACAGATAAAGTCTTCCATCTTTATTACACAATACAGTACAGCTATTTTGCATCTATACTGATATACATGATGTTTGGTCTTCTAAAATCTTGTCAGTACTTCATATTGATAAAGCCAATTAATATTTATACACATACTCATAGTGAGAAGTACGCTCCTCTAAGTGCATTTGCAATAATAAACTCAGTACTTACTTTTGTAATGACCCTTTTTAAACAACATAGTCATCAAAATATGGAAGGATGTACTCTCTGAGAAAAAACCATGCAAACTCTGTAGAAAAACATACAAACATACAAAGAGTGAGTTTTAAAGAAAGTTAGAATAAAGTAAATGAGCATTATTATGGTGCACAGCATTTATCAAGTCTTCCCATTGAAATGAGCTGCATCTTTACAAGTTGAGTATTTAATATTTCAGTTCCCTGACTCCTCTGTCAGGTAACTTCTAAACTAGCAGTATCTCAGTATACTCAACAGCACACTTAAAAATTAAACATATTTACAAGAGATTCGTACTTCTATGCTTTTTCCAGTGACAGACTGTGACCTTTAAGTTAATGCAAGCAGAAGTCTGACTAATTGCTACTCCAAAAGCTTAGCAGATATGCAGCTGAATAACAGTATCTTTGGGGTGAAGTACCACTCATACTAAGTAAATTTCAGCTATTCACAATATGAAATAGTAAACAGATCCACACTAGGGCTTAGGTCATGACAAGCATAGTAGCAGAACAAAGAACAAGTATATTTTACATTCCACAGCATTCACTGCATGGTATGACAATATGAATAGCCACATGAAATGTCAAAGACATTGTGATAATTTTCTGAAGCAGGGTCTTAAGATGTGATACAGTACATTATCATCCATCAGTGACCAAGTCCTGTAAGTACTACAGGACTCGTCTTAGTGCCTGATCTCATCTATAGCCAAATAACACCTTCATATACTTACACATACCTAACCTAGGAACAGTAGGCCAAGCAATACTTTTCCCATTTTCAGTAGATATATCCTTACCTTGATTCCTTATCATATAGCTGACTTACCACTAGCCCCCAGTTTTGAAAATAGAACATTCTTGCATAGAATCATCTACATATATTAGATATAGGGTACAAACAATATTTTGTCATAATAATGCACACAGCATTTCAGAGATGTTCAAAACCAAGTCCTTAAGTTTCTTCAGCACTTCAGAGGGAGTCTGAAGTACAGATTAACAAGGTAAATGTGCTGGTGTAAACAATCTAAGGAATTTAAGCAAACTGCTACTGAATAAAAATTCAGAAGTGATCACTTCCAAGAATTATTTATACAGGATGGATATATGAAATAGAGAATGCGGGAAAATATGCATCAGAGCTTTTTTGAGGAATTATCCTCGAATCAATATTCTTTATTGAAATGATGCAACTACAAAGAAGTGCGATAATACAAAAGTTAGTCAAATTAACATTTACTTTTAATTACTGTTTAACTTTCAAACTGTTTTTTTTTTGTTTGTTTGTTTTTAAACAAAAGCTTTATAAACAGTGTTGTTAGATCAATGTGATAGACATCTTTGCTGTTGCAACAGATATACAGTGTACTTTAAGTTTCTGAGGTTATGCAAAGCACACAAATTACGCACATTGAAGTAGTGGGTAACAGTGATATTGGTGAAATACATAGAGGAAATTACCTGATCTTTGATAAGTTCTACTGCAGGAGTTTCAAGGTCTAGCTCAAAACATAACCTCATAAAGAGGGGCCCAAATTTAAAACCATGCATGTCTGTGATTCCACTCTGTTCATGGTACCTATTAGAAAGACTCAAAAGAGTAAATCACACAACACATAGAATTTGCCAAGGGAAAACAGCTTTAAACAGGCAGTACAATCTGCATGTGCAGTGACAGACACATTGCTTTTCTATCTTCAGTAAGTGGCATTTAGATAAATGAGGAAATATTTTCTGGAAAAAAATGTAATTTTGACTCAACTAATAAAGTGAAGTAGCAATATGAAAATTATTCTATTTATAATGAAGACATTCATATCCGATTAAGTTATAGAATGCATCCTCTTCACCAGAACTGCCAGCTATTTTGCTATCTATTCACAGAGCAATTGCACAGGAAGTTGCAGTGGTCCATTTTAGCAGTGATACCTGCTAAAACATTTCAACCTTTTCTAAGCCAAACTAATTAAAAAATAATATATTTTTTGCTTTTTTTTTTTTTTTTTTCCTTCCCAAAACTTCTGCATGTAATTGCTGGGAAGGCTTTCATTCACAAATCCTCCTGACCTGCCACTGGTTTCCAGACCAGTTTATAAACAGAAACATCTTAGCTGGAAGATGCCTCTGAGCACACCAGTACCTCCCAGCTTAAAAGTGAAGTTTCTGTGTGGCTCACTTTTCATTCTATATATAGCAGAAACCAGTTCATTCCCATAGCTTGACTCTTCTTTGATTGAGAATCTCTGAAGGGTTGGAAGACCCAAAGTAAATGAAAATGCAGTCTTAGCCTAATGGACTAACTGTGCAAATTGTCCTTGAACTAGGGCAAACCCTCACTTGCAGACATAACTTAAGATGATCTAATAACAAAACTGTAAAATAAAAAGAGAAAACAATGTTACCTGGATTGTTACAAGTACCTGTAAATAACTTTTTTGGCTAGCTCCACATCAGATGAAGTCTGACATAAGTGCAGTAAAATTTTTAATTCATTTTTGAGAATAATTCTATTTTCCTTTAATTTTTCTTTAATATTTTTGAAATATGGATCTGAAAATGAAGCACATTATAAAAGCAGTCTACAGACAATTCCATTATTTATGTTGCATATCTCCTACTTGAAACAGAGACTCAATGCAGTAAAAAGCCTGTTTTTTTTCAGTATAACTATTATACTGCTATAACTATAATATTATAACTAAAATAAATAAATAGATCTCACATATTTTTTGTAACAGATTAGTTATTAAGGCTTTTTTTCCCCACTTCTAATCCAAAATCAATTACAAGCCTCATTGACTTCTTTTCATATTTCAGTTTCTAGCCTAAATACCAAGTACAGAAACCATTTGAACATACATAGTTAGCACTCTGTTTTGATTAGTTATCTTCAGCTACTGCTTGTACAACAACAAAAAGGTGAATTGTTACCTGTAAACCCAAATATGTGGCTTCTGCTTAGGTATAATATGAAACATGTCCAATATGAGTATGTCATTATCACAGCAAAATAATGGCATTATGACTTATCAATGCCTGATTCAAACTCTGCTATTACTTGGTATAGAAAAACAATTATTTCAATTTTGCTGAACTCTATTTCAGATGACTGGTTTATGTAGAACTAAATTTGATATCTGTCCTTTTCTTGGCACTGAAAAAAAAAAACAACAATATCATTTGGAAGAACTGCCAAAAGTTTGTAATCACCAAACACCTACACATGATAAAAAAGGTGCATTAGATTTTAAGGATGGATTTATGTTTATATTTATCCTCTCTAAAGTACAGAGTTTACATACACTTTAAACTAGCATGACAAAATCTCTATCAAGGAAAATCCACCATCCTTCCTCTCTGATCAGTTGAGGGAACCTGAACTCGTTTTTCATATTCAGAGTTTAGAGACATAATCTAGGCGTAAAACTGAGAGTTTATATGATATAAACCAAACATAAAAAGCTAAGGGAATGAACTCAATAACTTTACAGAGCAGATTAAATCAATTACTGGCATAGGCCTGCTCTGGACTGGTAAGTAGGTATCAGGCTTTGTGTTAACCTCCTCTGCTGAAGATGTATTTGAAGCATAATTTGTAGACTAAGCAGTACTTTACGTTAGACTACATGATAAAAATGGAAATGCAAGGGCACAAACATTTCAGGTCCTTTTCTAATGTTCCTTGACATTTTTCAAGATGACATAACTCACACCATTCTTCAAAGCTTCAGATCTGAAATTTTAGCTGCAAACAACTTGCAAGAGGAAGATGCAAACTATTCCTTTCATTGTAGTCAATTTTCTGTATATAATGGCTTTCACCATCTTCTTTCCAGTACTCACATTAAAATAACAAAGGTTCTCATCAAGGAAATATAAATACCTTTATTGCCATGGAATTCATTTCTAATTGCCTCTTTTGCCTGCTGAAATTCTTGTAACTTTATATTATCTTCTGTTAGCAGATACCGTTTACCTGCCATAAGAAAAATAAAGAAGTTTAAATTTTACATTCTACTAACTGCTTTGATAATGCAGAACTTTGCAATTATAACTTACAGCTTTTAACTATTGTATGATACCAAATTATTGGCAGCACAACACTAAAAGACTGCAAGAATTGCAATTGCTCACATTGCTGAGAAAACAAACAAAAAACCAACCAGCCACTACATCATAGCTTTCCAGTATTAATATCAACAAGGTTAAAAAGGCACGTATTTATTGGATGTGCAAAATAAAAGCTAGAGATGTTCCCCTCTTGCCTAGCTAAGATACAAGTGAATTCTGCACAAGAATCCTGCTTGCCTGCTTTTGTAAGGATCTGCCTTGTTGTCTCTCTGCTGCTAAGAACACCCTGGCAGCACAACTGCCATCATCACTGCAGTATGCCTGATGCTGGCTGCCCCTGTTTCTGTGAGAAGACAAAAAAGGAACATGCAAAGATTATAATTTGCAAAGCAGTAATGCTCAAGAGACCCAGTGAAGCTGTGGTACAGGCAGACACGAGAGGAATACAAGCACAGGTCCAGAATCAGAAAGCTAATTCTGGGCACCAGTCTCAGACAAAGGGTTCTGCAAGCCTAAGAAAGGTGTCATGCAAATGCCATCTGTCAAGATCTTGCTGTCACAAAGCCAGTTCTCCAGCAGCAGATTCCTATTTGTAGCAAACAATCTGGTAACAAAGAATCTTTGCAGCAGTTCACATTGTCTCAATAGAATCATAGAATGGCCTGGGTTGAAAAGGACCACGATTACCATCCAGTTTCAAACCACCTGCCATGTGCAGGGTCGCCAATCACTAGACCAGGCTGCCCAGAGCCTCATCCAGCCTGGCCTTGAATGCCTACAGAGATAGGGCATCCACAGCCTGCTGGGCAATCTTTTCCAGTGTGTCACCACCTTCTCTGTGAAAAACTTCCTCCTAACATCTATCCCAAACTTCTAAGCCCTCCAAGTCTTCTGCTTGTGAAAAAAACGACTCTTAATCAAGAGGGTAGGAGGAAGTACTGACCCAGGGAAGTTACACATCAACTTCACACCTGCCCAGCAAGATGCAACAAGCCATACAAGCAACGTTTGTTTTCTGCATGAGAAATGATAACAATGTGCTGATAAGAATCCACAAAGCAGCACACCTATCTCTTAAATTTAACCGGAGGATTAACAGAGGGTAAAACAGGCAGGAGTTACCCTAATTTGCCCCGCCTCGTGGGAAGCCCCGTTAGGCCTTCACAGACAGCCCGTGCATCTCAGGGAGCGGACAGGTGCTGTGCGGGGAGCTTTGAGCAGCGGAGCTCTACCTCTATCCAACTCAGCCCCCCGCTAAATCCACCGCCAGGCGTAACGGGACTACAACTCTCGACGCGCAGACTGCTGGCAGCGCCCGCCAGGCATGCTGGGAATTGTAGTATTCCAACCCTCCCCCACCCCCCCTTCCCGGTGACCGGCGCGGCCCCACGCCGCCTACAATTACCTGCGGCCATACAGCCGCGGCAGCCCGAGGCGGACAGGCGAACCACCGAGCGCCGTACCACCGCCCGCATCGCCCGCCGCGACCCGCCGGAGAGCACCGCCGCCATCTTGTACCCCGGCCTGGCGGAGGCGGAGCGTTGGCGGGCCAGCCCCTTCCCCACCGCCTCCTTCCTGGCTGCCATGGCTGCCGCCGTGCTCGTGCGAGGCGCGCTGCGGGGCGGGAAGGTCGTCGGCGCGGCGGCAGGTCGGTGGTGCGCGGTGCTGCGCGGGGCCGAGCTCTGTAGGGCCGGGCCCGGCCTCCGTGGGGGCCGATGGCTGAGAGGGCTGTGGGATATGGTGCAGGGACGGGCTATGCGCGGAGGCACTCGCCAGACGCCGGGACTGGGGCAGCTTTCGCAGAACGCGAGGGACAGAGACGAGTTCTCCGTTCGGATGTGCGGCTCCCAACCTGTCTGCCTATATGGACGCGGATATCCGTGCGGGGCGGACGGCAGCCCACCGAGCCTGAGCAGAATCTGACGAGTGAGGGGGCAGAAGTGTAGTCCAGGCCGATGGTTTTGAAGGGCTGTTTTTGCTTTAAAAAAAAAAAAAAAAAAGCCACCTGTGTGAAGGAATCACAACACTGGGTAATTCTATGGCGTCCTTCCTGTAAAAGTCGAGTTATTTCTTTATCTTCCTTTAGCCAGTTCTGTCCATCGTGCATCTTCAGGACCTTATCATCTGTCAGTGATGCTCAAACATGGCCCATGTTCCTCCATTGGAAGCATTTATTTTGCTTCAGAAAGGAACACAGTCTTCAGAAACTTTCAGATATGAAAAGTATCTGGAAAAAAGTTTGTGAACCCTGTGGATCACAGGAGCTGCAAGCAAAAGAGTTGATCAAATGTGTAATATTTCACAGATGAAAGTTCAGCTTTCATTTCCAGTGAGAAAGCTTTAAGGGTGGAGAAGAACATCAGCCAAGAACAGAGAAACCTTTCTGTGCATATTTGCCACTTATGCCTACATCTAGCTAAGCTCTGACATCTGATGAAAAGGCCCATGAGCACAAGAAGTTGTCCTCTATTGTTCATAATTTCCCACCTTATAAAACATTTTCTTAAATGCACTGTTCAGTTTTGGAAAAAAGACTGTTGTATGCTGGAAAAATCTTTTAGGGGGAACCTCCTCAGTTTGAAAAATAACAAGGTAATGGCATTTCCAGCTCGAGGGAAGTTAAGCTGTTTAGATAGCTACTGCTACTATTGTATAGTTTAATGCGTTTGAGTCAGTGAATGTGATAAAGGTACTTGATAGAAAGTTTATATGCTCGCTTAGATAGTCAACCTGACTTACACAGTGATTTTTTTTTTTTAAGGTAGAAGATCTCTTCTTTCTGCAGCATATGTGGACAGCTCAAAATGGGAAAACAGACAAAAAGAGGAGCATAACCTGGGTGAGAAAAGTTTCTTTATTTTTCCACCATTTTGACAATTGCACCTGAAATAATTTTAGATTACCTCATCACTTAAAAATCCAAACAAAAAAAAAAAAAGGGCCAAAATGCTTCAGTGATTCTGTGTGAAAATCTGCCTAACGCTATGAATGTCTTACATATTCAACGCTGTAATTCTGAAAGAAAGGACTTGTCCATTTACACAATGTTTAGTTTCTACAAGCTTTTTTATTTTATTTCCCACAAAATCCAGACTTTCTATGAATGTCACGTTTTTGTGTGTGAAATCTATAACTGTTTCTGACTACAACTGTTTTAGTTGTAATGCATTGCAAAAGAGGCTCATTCAGTAAATATTAAAGGGCTCTAAAAACCTTCTTAAGTACTTAATTAATATTTTCTTCATAATTTTACAAGAGGGAGAAGTACACTGTATTTGTTAACTGTATCTCAAATTATGAATCTGAAAGAGGAATCAGGAGGTGAAATTTGAGGGCTTTTCTCAAATCAGGAGTACCCATGAAATTATAGTATTTTTAGTGCAGGAATCTATTTGTTATTTGCCTGTAAAGAGGCAAACTGATTTGTCAGTGTTTTATGGTACATGGACCAGAACAGCTGGTAGGGGCTGATTAATATAGCTTGGATCTAGTAGTTCCTTGAAAATCTTTATAGTCAACCAACACGTGGTGTTCAGTCTGTATTTGCAGACATTGACGCCCCCATTGCATTTGAACCTGTCACTTGCAGATAGAATAGAATTAATATTTTGACCAACTTTATAGACAATACTAATCTATTGTAGAGGAAAACGTCATATAACTTCTTGTACAGTCCATGTTTGGCCATTTCCAGGCCTAGCAAGACCTTACAAGCACAGTTTTTGCTGCTGCTCTGCCAAAGATCTTGATCCAAAACAGATAATTGCAATGTGGACTATGCAGAACTACTTTGCATTTTCATTCTGTTGATTCAGTGTCAGCTGTGTTAGCTTTTTCCAAGACTAGGCACACTAGAGATGTTGGCTCTGTTGCTCTCAGTTCCTTGTTGTGCATACAGTCTTCTATGTAGTAAATGGTGATTGTAGCTGGTGTGAATTCTTTGTGTTGAGGAGATGCTGGTTTGTTTTTATTCCATAGTTTCAGAACTGTTATTCTGCAGAACTATGGTATGAGAATGTACTGATGGGGAAAAAACAGGTATTTTTGATTTAAAGATGAAGGTGTTATTTAAATACGTATAAAGCCAGTTTCTGATGCAGTGGTGTGCTGCCATGTCAAACTCACTTACTGCATCTATATAAGAGATATACTACAGATTTACTTCTTTGTAGTATCCGTTTAGCAATCCAAGCATTAGCAGCCAACTCCAGCACACAAAAAAATGCAGGAAAGAAAAAGATTGTATTTTGTGTACACGGAATATATTTTTTAAAATGTAAGTACTATAAATGTCTTATTTTGAAATTTACAAATGTGTGGTGATAGGAAGATAGGGGTTTAGAAGAAATTTGAGCTGTACATACTGAAAAATAGAAAGCAACAGAACAGGAGGCGTGGCTGGACTTTGCATAGTGTTTCAGTTGGTTTGTTGCTAAAAAAGGGTAAAATTAAGTAATAGTAGGTATCCTGATGAGAAAGATTGCAATTATCCAAACCTAAGAGGTCTGCAAAATTCAAGTGAGATCGATAATGGTTCTTTTTTGTTTGTTTTAAAAAAATCTCCTGATACCTGAAATAGCTTATCTGAAACACCAGGTGGCAGCGCTTCCTTTGCAAACTCTTGTTTCCAATTGAAGTAGTCTTTGGTACAAGGCTGTGGATCTTTCCAGAAGCTGCCAGGAATGTGGATAAACAGAGAAATGTGAAACATAAGCTTTACTCACTTCAGCCTTCCTTCATGTTTTTCTTTCTGAAAAACCTGGGGCTCAGTTGAATGAGCTTTTAAGATGCTGTCTCATCTGTGGGTTTCTGACCTGTCCTGGACCACTTCAGGGCGTTAAGGTTAGCTCATGTTCTGTGACCTTACGTTCTAAAATCATTAAAATTCTGCATGTGAACTCTCCCAGTGTAGATGTGTATGTAACAGTCTTGAAATTAAGGCTTCTTATTTATTGGAATTACATTGTCCTTATATACTTGATGTTTCCTGAGGTGGACTTTTCATCTTTGTGAGCACCTAGATAAAAGAAATGCTAGACTCAGGAGTTGAATATAGCCTACAGTGGTTTTAGATATCACCTTCCAGTTTCCAGTGAGGTGTTTAACAGAAGTTGTTCTGGAGTAGATAATTATGCCCCAACCTGTGCATCTGTCAGATCCCTGTTGCAAATGCAGGAGATTTCTGATTTAATACTTTCCTGAAAACACAGATGATGAATGTTGGCTGATAGTTGGCTTGATATGTTTAGGTGAGAACCTAGCCATTTCCTGTCAAGTTGACGTGGCGGTAGCATTTCTCTTCTCTTATTTTTATCACTGCTAGAAATGCCCTTTGTAGTCTTTACCTGTGTGCTCTTTCTTGAGTGCTGGAGAAACAGGAAATGCAAAGTGAAATATGGATACTTTCTGTAAGGATATTTCCACAGAAAATGCTTTACCATGTAAAGGTTGATCTGCTCGCTTAGTGGCTTTGTAGTGTTATATGGTTTTGATGGCCTGTGTCATTTCAGCATCCCATATTGTATTTTGCAAGAGCTGCTCCTTGCCTTGGCACCTTTGCTCTCAATTTCCCTTTCATTTCACGTTGATGAAATACTCTCTTAGTTGGAGATAAGCTGCTTGTCAAAGATGATGTTTTTGGTATTCCTGAGAATACTTTCAAGTGTCTTAGGAGGGAAGGTGTTACGTAAATACAAAATTAATGGTATGCAGCAGACAGCGGCATTATCCAAACTGAAGGGTCAAGCAAGATTTCTCGTTTATTATAGCAAAAAGTATTTGCATGTGCCTTGTAATTTTAGAGTAGCTGTAAGATTAGGGTAGCACTGCATACAGTTTATAGCGTTAGAACTGTATACCTCTCAGTGTTAACTGGTGGTACAAGAACAATTTAACTTTTTCTATGGTTACTGGTACAGTGCTGCTTTCTGTCCTTTCCAGTATTGCCAGAATAAGTGGTTTGGTCATTTCTGATATGGCACTCACTTCAGGGGTTGAGGTCAGATGACATTTATGGAAAATGAATTGTAACAAGCCAAGCCATCAGCTCTTGCAGTGCAGTCAATGGAACTTTGTGTCATGCAACGCAAAAAAGAAAAAGAGGTGAAAGTGATACAGATAATAAATATATTGTATTCCTGTGCATGGAAAACTGAAGGAAGAGAGTATGATTGGAGTCTCTAAATATTATAGATTAAATGTCATCAGTTCTTGTCTAACAGCTGATGGTGAACAGTTTAGTCTCTGAGTCATTAGTTTCTGGTAATAGTACAAAACTAAAACTATAGATTAAATTCATGAAGTTCAGTGTTAATCTACCTGTTCCGCAGACAAAAGCTTACAATTCCTGTATGGCCAATTTAATATTGTTAGATGACTGCTGAAGCAAAATGCTATTAAGTTAATAAGGCACTGGCACAGGGCCCAGTTTGATTAACAGAATTTCTTCTGACCTGTTGTTTGTGGCTGTAGGGTATATGAGGATGGTATGGCTTGCTTTTGTGTTTCTTTGTTTTACCAAAGAAGAAAGGACGAACACCAGAGGCACTGTCCAGCATGTGTGAAGCTCGAAAGCAAACATAAATTA